AAGAGGAATAGATAAATACAAAGCCCAGAGAGACTCATATTAATATATAGAGAGATAAATTTATGTTAATCAGTATATTTATATAAATGGCACTATATAGTATCTTAATAAACTGATTGATCTTTATCAAACATGTCAACAATGTTCTTTTGACTTTTAATGGATAATCTTTCAAACACAGCAGTGAAATTATGGAAGACCAGCATAGTAGGGATACAGTTAAATGAGAAAAAAAATCTGCTGTTAACTTGACTTTTTCAAATGAAGATTGTGAAGAATTTTATTCATTCACATGTAAAAGCAAAAAAGCTAAAAAGCAAAAAAAAAAAAAAAAAAAAGATTTTTTAATAGGAAATCTGTAGGAATTTTGCACAATCTTTAACATGTCTTGTAGATTGTTTGACTCAAAATAGATTAAAAGATTCCTAAGTGTAGAGAACACCTGTTCTGGCCAGACTTTATATGGCTTAGCTTACCTACATTCTAAGGCTTCTATCTTATATATGGTTGAAGTATAGTCTTTCAAAAAACATCTAGCTTTGACATGAAAACATCAACAACTGTAGAATACAGTTCCTTCATGATAGTCCGTTGCAGATAACTCATTTGTAAAAACATGTGAGGCCTTTCTAACTTTATTTGATTCAGCTTTCTCTTCAGACGAGTGTTTTTGTTACACTTTTCTCCACTGAATTAGAAAGCCCTTAAGTGCTTGACATTTTCTCCAACTGAGAGCTGTAATCAAGTCACCTTTCAATCTTCTTTTGAAAATATATTCAATGTGACATCAGGTTTGGGAATTAAAGAATAAGAAGCTCAAAACATTGGTTCTCCAGAATTCCTTTTGTTGACTTGATTTGTCAAACTCATCAGACATAGGCGTTCAGGTAAAAGAGCATTGCTCTTACTTTTCACAGATTATGAACACAGTACATTACAAAGCAGAGGAATGCCAAAGACATAGCTTTAATGATTGAAGAAACATTCCTGTTCAGCTCTGAACACTTCCTAAAAGATGTTAGACCATTGGTATTTATTGAATTCACTCTAGATAGACCTATTGAAAGTGTGCATTGTATTTTAGATCACGATTACAGTTGCTGCTTCCATCTCTTTAAAATTGATCCTCTTTGACTTGGTTAGATAATTGGCTCCTAATTCAAACTTAAATGCACTCTTCTTCCAAAGTAGCAAAAAGATATATATTTTTTTCCTTTTTGCATGATGATGTCAAGGAAAAAAGAAGTTAAACACTTTTTTTTTTTTTTTTTTTTTTTTTTTTTTTTTTGCAATCCTTGAACCATACATCCTTTCCTCCCATGCTGTGATTAACAATTTCCTTTTCTCCTGTCAAGCTTTTCTCTATTTCTCTTCCAGCTACTTTTAGTCTTCCCTAAAATAAAAAATGTTTCACTATGTCCTTTTTAGCAGAATAATAGCTTTTCTTCGCTTTGCAACAAATGAACACAGTGTTACCAAAAAGGAACCTCTTTCATCATTTTTTTTCTCCTCAATTGGCCTTCATTGTACTATGTTATTTTGTTCATTTAGCCTTTCACTGTTCCAATAATCACATCCAGTGGCATTTTTATCAAAAGGCTAAGAAAATTTGTATATTTCTGGTGGGAAAATAAAGATGATTCGATTTTAGGGATAGAAACAATGTAAAGAACAATTCAGCAATTAATTTGGTTTGAGGAACTATTTCATCTGTATTTTGGTAGAGCAGTTGAGTCAGAGATGATTTGCCTCCTGCAGCTGTGTAATGTGGGTGAATCAGGAGTACTCATGCTTGTCAGATGTTCTCAAGTCAAAGGAAAAAATAAATAGGGTAAGTGTTGATGTATAATCTGTTTCCATATGAAGATCATCTGTGAGTGCTTCTGAGTTACAGTATTGTACTGAAGAATAACAGGACAGCTACATATTAAATCTAATAATAAGAAATAATTCCCCTCACTTTCCATTTCAAATGTGCTCATATATACACTAATACCAGTCACTGGCCTCATTCTGAGAATTGGCATTCTTGTTTTTTCCTATTAGCAAGCCCTAACATCTACTAGCTGCTACATCGTTTTACTGTAATTTTGTTACTATGGTGATGAGAGATACAATCAAATTCAAAAAGGATTCTTTGAATATCCTCTCATGCAAAAGAAAAGTGAATAATATATCATTTAAGATAAGTCTGATTTATTTTGCCTTACTGAAACAACTGGTTCCAATGAATGGAGTGAGTGATAAAAAGGAAAATGTTGTTTGACCCTTTTTCTGCTAATGGTATTTTCTTGCAAGGTGTTTGTTCTATCAGCTGTTTTTTGTATATAATAGAGATTGATTATGGTATTTGGAACTAGTTAATGTTGTTCCACGTACTTACAATTGTTCCATATAGCTAGTATGTATTGGCAAGAAAATTATTTAGTGACCTACATGTTTATCTACAAATTGGTTTAGAACAAATTAGCTGTTTTCTTAGCAGTTTACAATTCTGAGTTTAAAATATTTTGTTTACCATTTCAGGAAAATACATCTTTTTGACAAATGCATGAATGTATGAATGTCTATTTTTGTTTCTTTTGAGACAAGTGACTGACTACTACATCAAAATGGATTTATTATGAACTTAGTGTTGCTGCTATAGCAAGTAATTGAAAAGTACTTCTGACGTAATTTGTAAGCAGAATATCAAAGTACCAGATATGCAAAAAATCATATTTGCTTTATGATTTTCCATAAGTAAATGGAAGTAGTCTTGATTGCTGCATCCTGGCCATAGTGATCTGCTCTGCAGCTCTATAGATTCAATCTGCTATTTTCCTTCTACATCTTTGATGTTGCACCATTAAAAAAATAAAAAAGTTAATTGCCCAAAACAACAAGGCAGCTCATGACTGTTGGAGTATGTAGACAGATTTGTAAGCCCCTAAATGGGCTTGCAGTAACTGAACAGAACATAAGAAATTACTGAAAACAACATTGCTGAGTGAGTAGCTGGCAGAAGTTACAGATAGCACCATGGATGGTGAATGGATCTCACAGATGGTCAAGGGAGAATTAACTGAGACAAATTTCACAGATAAATAAGGGGAGGGGGGGGGGGAAGGGTATTGAGGATTTTGGGAAGATTATATATGATATTCTTGCAAGGCCAACATGGTCTGTGCAACAATATCAATAATCTCAGATAATCTCAGATAAAGCTAAGGTTATCTAGATTGCCATATCAGAAATACTGAATTTGTGTATGAATGTGACAAAACTGGGGTCAATGGGGACAAAGACTTAGGAAAGGTGGATGTAAATAAAAACATGGGAAAATGCAGAGGCATGACAAAAGTATTGATGGAGTGTAAGTGGGCAGTCACTCAAAATGTTTGTTTGGCTGAGCCTTGGATCTGATTCACAAACAAAATAAGTAATTCCTTCTACAGTTAAAAATAGAATTAATGTGGAATAATAGTCAAACACTACATGGTAACAACAGAATGCTTATGGTCACACTAAGAAGTATCCTTCTCTCAAGCATGCTCTAATTTCCTATGTTTGCTTTTTTAGGCCCTTTTTGTGAGGAACCTGGTAATCCTTGTGCATCTCAGCCATGCCTGAACAGGGGTGTATGCCAGTATTATCAGTCTGGATATATTTGTGATTGTCCAGCAGGCTTTCTTGGTCACAATTGTGAAATCGATATCAATGAGTGTTCTTCAATGCCATGTCAAAACAGAGGTACATGTATCGATTTGCCAAATGTAAGTATAAGCTTCAGAGATCTGTATTTGAACACAGTGCCAAACAATTTAATTCTAATTTAAGGTCAGCTTTAGATGTATCCTGAAGATACACTGCATTAAATGCATGTGTCATATTCATAAAAAAGCCTGAATTCCCCATTTTCAGTTGAGATGTTTGGATATCACTTAAGAAGCTAGCAGTGTTTTTCCTTTTTTCTTTTTTTTAATCTTTCTTCAATAAAATAGGATATAAAACACAATACAATCATCTTTATTGCCTAGAAGTTTATTCTTGCTTTTCCAATGATATGTTTGGTTTTTTTGTTTTTTGTTTTTTTTTGTTTGTTTGTTTGTTTTGTTTTTTTTTTTTTTTTTTTTTTTTTTTTTTCAATAAAATGAGTTTGTGCATGCTTACCAAGGTATGATAACAGAGTCATATTTGGTAGCATTTCAAACTGCATTGCCAATTTTCTTTCATTAACACTACAATTGTAAATAGCAGTGATTACGGAGAAGCAAAATAGTAAAAGAAGAGCTCAAAAATTCACTTAACATGTAGTAATGATATATGCTTATTCACAAGAGAAAGAAAAAGAGACATCTAAGTTTCTAAAAATATGATGGATTTCTAAATTTTGCAAATTGTGATTTTCATCAGGGAAACAAACTCATGTATAATTTTTGTTTACTTTCTAGTATGAAAATGCTTGTAAAGATCATTATACTGTGGAGAAAAATAAGAAGGAGAGTATTAGCTCCAATAAATATTTTGTTGTAATATAACTTAGTGTTCTTTCTGTGTAAAATATTGACTACTGTAACTGGCAAATGTCTTTCACATTTTGAGGGAAAAAAAATACAAACCATTTTTTTTTCCTTCTGTAGTTATTGAGTACTCTGATATATGATATATCTCATGCACTGCTACTGTTAAATAGAGACTTTCATACTGAAGCATATAAAGGACAAAAACATAAACAAATTATAAAGCTCCTTCACAAAGCCAGATATATTTAGAGTATTTTCAGTTAGTAAACCCAACTCTGATGTATTCTGTGCTGGAAGGCCTATTCCACTTGTCCTAAATTATGCTTAAAACCTATCTGAGGCTAGAACTGTGCTTTGTTATGTATACATAGACTGCTTACTATGTCATCTTTAGGATCTTTGTAATAATGGAAGTAAATACGAATTTTTTATTAATTGAATACAACATATAATTATTACCTATTTCCTTTTCTGCTATAGGATGTAGCATGTAGATGTCTGCCGTTATTCACTGGCAAGTTCTGTGAGAGAATACTGAATCCATGTGAATTATTGCCTTGTTTAAACAATGCAACCTGTGTATCTCAACAGCAGAACTATAAATGCCGGTAAGATTAGAAATCCATTTGTTTCAGTGCTTAATTGGATCACTCGATGTCATTGATTGCAGAAGGAAAACATGTCAGTTACAGAGAATGCAAAAAACTCATTTTAACATTTTGTTTCTTAATTTTGGTGGCCTACTGTGTTGAAAACTCATGAAATATCATAAGGAGCACTTAATGAGGTATAAATCGCTTAGTCATTAATTGTGTGAGAAGAAATATATAAATCCTGACACTCTGAGAACAAATGACACAATTAAATTACAGGTACTACTCCCATTCAAGTGGTTTGATGGTTATGTTGTGTTTCTAAAATGATAAGACAGCTATATTCATTCCTAATTCATAGACATGCGTTAGTCGTTCTTAGATTGATCCTTCAAGAACCATGTTAAAAATTGCTTTATTCGAAAAGACCACACTGAAAATCATCCTGTTGCGAATTATAGAAGTGTTCCATTAGGTATTTAATTTTATTCCATTTTAAATAGCTTTATAGATATTTTCTTACACTACTGAGGAATACAATTTTTTCTCTTCACTTTTACTTGGCTTTTATCTCCTTGCCTTAGAATAACTTCTGCTAAGTATTACTGAAGTACAGCAAACAACTTGCAAATTTTAAGACATTCATAAAAGTAGGAAACTGAAAGCTGTGTTACACAGAAGTCTGAAAACACAGTGTGAATGAACTTAAAAACTGAAAACTGAAAATGTAACAGAAATACAGAACATTAAGTTACAGTCCATAAGAAGTTTGGCTGAAAAGTCTGTGAATCTAGATATGTGTAGAATATGATATGTTTACATCTTTCCACACTATAAAAAAGATAAATATTTTTATTCATTCTTACATCTACCTATATTCTGGCACACATACCTGCACATATACAGAGATAGGTTTTCACATATAAATATGTATAGCACACAATGACAGGTGTTCTCATTTATTTTCCAGTATGTTCGATCTAGATATAAGATATTGATAGTTTACTATTATATATCCAGTCTTTTACGCTGTATGATGGTACATGAATTAGTATGATGAAGCGTTGCCTGAAATAGTATGAACTGTTGCCTAAAGCTCACATTTAAATTATGCCTTTTCTAAAAGTAACAATAATAACAAAGAAAAAAATCATGGCCCTGCGTGTGATGTAGTTTCAATAGCTTATAGTTTCAAAAAGCACAGCCTGAGATGATACTTTACTGTGAACCTTGTACTACTGAATGCAGCTAATAAAAATATGGAAAGACGTGGTGGTTTAAGAGAGAAAGAGTGGCAGACATCCTACAGATAAGTGTAATGAAAAGTAAAAAATGGACAATTAACAAGGCATTTATATTGATTATAAAGAGAACCACTTAAATTATGTTATTAAAGGTAGCTATCAGAAATTTAAGTTTGGGGCCCTAAAAAGGTGCAAACCTGTTTACCACTATTATCAAACACTAAGATCCGTTTAGTACCAGTGTTGTTGAAATTTTTACCTTTAATAGTTGTGCATCATTCATGCTCTTTGTAAAATACATATTTAGCAATATGACAGGAGTGTCACGTTTGTGGAAAGCTAGTCTGAGAAATACCATAGCTTTTAAGTTTATTTTTTTAACACCAAGAATTATTTTGAAGGGGGAAAAACAGCTTAGAGAAAACATTGTGAATCTAGCAATGAAAAGTACATACTTCAACTTTGTAAAATATCAGTGAACATATTATTCAAGTAGAGTTTTTGGCTAGAATTCTTTCCACGTGATGTTCCCTAGCATCCAAGCTATATACTGGAATGTCTTGGTAAAGGAAGAGATCAACTCCAAAGTTGATCAAAGGAGATCAACTCCTTTCCAAAGTGAGGAATCCAAGATAGGCAAGATAAAGCATTTTCTGAAGGATCCCAAAATGCACTGCAAAAAAGGGGAGAGAGACTTCTGCCCTAAAGTAGATACTAAAACTACAGATTTTAAAATGAGATAAAACTGTTTACACTGGAAATAAGTTTCAGTACTCAGCTTTAGTTATAATATTCACTCACTGAAGGCTCCAACTATTTTTTTTTACTAGTATCACAAGTCTTTAAACACTGTATTGCTAATAAAGTGATTTTTTCTTTTTTTTCTGTAAAAATAAAATCAGTTTTTGACCACTTAATACCAAATACATAATAAATGCAAATTATATATATATATATTTATACCTGTGTACTTGGAAGAAAGCATTTAGGTGAGAGAAAGCATTTTGAGGGAGTTTGTCAGGCACTTTTTCACAAGGAGACCAAATCCAGTAACTTAGTTGTGACAGCTGCAGTCTTGCCAGAGTGCTGAAATGCACAGGACATGCAGAGTTCTCAGGGAGGTCCAACTGTCAGCAGATTTTTCTATTTTTAGGATTCAGAATTCCCTTTTTAAACTTGTATCTTTCATTGGCTACTTAAGATAAATGAGGATGTCAAAAGACCTAGAAAAGGTGGTTTAACGATTTGAGTTTTGTTACACTGCAGACTTTGATGCTTTCTGGGAGTGAAAGTCATGTTTTTATAATGTATTTTACATGAAGAAAACCTACCATTAATTATTTTTGTTTATTCAGGGAGATAGGAGCTGGTCATTCAGAGTTCTAAATGGAAATTTTGTTTCAATTTTGGTAATTATTTTTAAGTACTGTAGCTTCTGACTATAGCTGGAAAAATTACATGTGTTTTATTTAATGTAATACTATGATTTGATCCACTTAAATAGTATTTTAGCATTTTAAATAGGTGTAACAACTTAACTTACATGGGTAAACATATACAATACACTTGACCTTTTTGCTTGCTACATTTTATTTTGGTTGTCCCAATTTTATCTGCTTCTCCTTATGCTCCAGCTGCATTCTGTTTATATCTATCAGCATCTGAGCTTCTATCTGCTTTTCTTCTTTGAGAAAGTAATTCTTTTCCAGTCTAAACATATAAACAAACAGATTCAGTGTAATTTTCTTCACTTCGGTTATGATGCATGACTATATTGTATCCTAAGTTCATCCCTGCAGTCTTCATATCAAGCACAACTTTGTGCTTAGAGTCTAATAACAATATTTTTTTCTTACATGTCAAAATTTAGGGTGAATTCAAATAGGCAATGAACAAAGATATCCATCACAATAAATTGTGATTGTTTACTTTGTGTCTTTTTTTATTATTTGTGTTCTTCAGAACAATAAAAAAGTCAAAAAAAAAAATAAAATAAAATGAAAGGATGTTATGTTGGTGTCATCTTTGCCATTTTACCGTCAAGTTTTTTTTTCTGTTGATTTGCCTTCATTTACTTCTGATATAGTCATGTCCATTGCGAAACAACAAAAACAAAACTATGAAGAATGTTCAAATGTACAAATTAGAAGAAATAGCTTCAAAAACTAGTGAATCATCTATTTTATGAAACACTCATAGATAAGACAAATTCAACCAGGAGGTCTTCCATCTGATTTCAAATCATAGCTGTAAACAAATCAGTAAAACAGTAAAACAAACATAATCAAGTTACTCTGATTGGTTTTAAGTGTGATTTAAACAAAGAATTACAATTCCTTTGTATTCCTATTCTGAAAAGGTAGCAGTGAGATTTGGTATAGGATTTGCATACAGAAATCTTAAGAGGGGGTTGAGGATAATGTTGAAGATTATGTGCATCCAGTTCTGGGGCCCCCAATGCAGGAGGGATTTGGAGCTATTCGAGAGGGTCCAGAGAAGGGCCACAAAGAAGTTCAGAGGGCTGGAGCACCTTGCCTATGGGGACAGGCTGAGAGAGCTGGGGGTTTTCAGCCTGGAAAAGAGAAGACTCCAGGGGGACCTCATAGTGGCCTTCCAGTGCCTGAAAGGGGCCTACAGGACAGCTTAGGAAGGGACTTTTTATAAGGATACGTAGCAACAGGATGAGGGAAAATGGTTGTAAACTGGAAGAAGTCAGATTTAAATTAGATATGAGAAGGAAATTTTTTACTGTGACAGTGGTTGAGACACTGGAACAGGTTGCCCAGTGAGGTTGTGAATGCCCCCTCCTTGGAAGCATTCAAGGTGAGGCTGAATGGCACTTTGAAGAACCTGTTCTAGAGGGAGGTGTCCCTGCCTATAGCAGGGGGTTGGAACTAGATGATCTTAAAGGTCCCTTCCAACCCAAACCATTCTGTGATTCTATGTTATTCATTGCTACCTATGGGTAGCATATAGCATCTTCCTGTACTTATTTCTACACTACTGTGTGCTTCTGGACACAATATATGTCTCTGTGCATCTTGATTAGGCATACTTAGAATTCTTTTGTTTGCAAAATACAAGTAATTCATGTATTTTCTTTTAAAGTTATTGTCTATACTATACTTGATATTGTATATATATGCCTTACTGTTGGACACCATGTAACTATGTGAGGCTTCATGCTCTCTAAAACCAGGGATGGCATTATTTTTTAAATTCAGGAAATGGAAGTGACATGACTGAATATTGCACCCATTAGCAACAAGCGCATAGAAAAAAACAAAAATAATTCTGTATCATCATCATGATTTTCATCTGGACTGAAACGTTAGATAATGTGCCCTTCATAAAACAAAGAAAACAAAAAATTAGTGTTTATTACTTTGAGATTCCACAACAAAACCAGTTTTTCAGCTAACTAGACACTTCCTATTCTAAGTATTTTAATTTCATACTACGTGATATAGCCTTGAAAAAGAGGAACATGCTAGGTATGTCTCTAAGTACATACTGAGTGAATTTGGTGGGGATTATTTATCTAACAAAGAACAAGAGCTTTTGCAATCTGTCTTCTACCTTTTTCTTTTGAGCAAGATATAAATATTCAAATATTTATTTGTGTATAGTATCCTGTTATTTATTTTCATGAAGACTTGTCTGCTACTCATTTGAATCTCATATTTGTTATTGAGTACTGAACTTTTGTTTTTTAATATTGGAGGGTTAGATTAGAAAAGAATATTCTCCTACAATGATAAACACTGACACGAGGCAGAAGAAATATCTATGACTGCTCTTACAGTAGAAGCTTATCTCCACTCACAGCACATAGAACCAAAAGTCAGAAAATAGAATATTGTGTTTTACCTTTAAAGAAATTACTGAATCCGGTTAAGTAAAAAACAAAAACAGCCACAAATTATCCTGTGCATACATCCCTTTAATCATTTCTTCTTACTTAAGCTTGTCATTATTGACACGCTAGTTAATCACTAGCAACAATTATTGCTATTTTAAACCTCATTTACAATCGTATTTCTCATTATTATCTCTGATAGTTTAATTAACCTCTCCTTTCTAATAGACTTAGAAAATGTGAATTTTAGATTTTTATTAGATATTGCCTCATTCTTGATTGTTTTCATTTCTGAAATATTACATTAAAGATTGGAATGAAAATATTTATTCAAAGATAAGAATATTTTACAGAGAAGCAAAATATAAAAAATCATGAAACTGATTTTGATTGCTTGAAAACCTGTTCTGCTTCTTTTTAATAAGTTATGAATTCTATTCTGCTACTGCAAGAACATTGTTTAATGGAATTATGGAACATAATTAAATACAATTAACTTTTAAAATCCAAGCCTTCTAAAATACACTGGTGTATTTGCAGCTGCATGCCAGGATTCACGGGAAAGAACTGTGAGGAAGTAATTGACTACTGCAGGCTGCTCAGCGTCAACTGTCTGAATGAAGGATTGTGTCTTAATATAATTGGAGGATTCACTGTAAGTAATTTAATACATGTTAAACTAATTCAGTGCTCCGAAGCTGCTTCAGACAACCACAACTGGAAATGCATTCATTATTCTAAGATACAAGAGGGACATACATTTATGTGTTTGTTATTTTATTTATTTATTTAAATCAGTAACATGAGAATTATTCACTGAGTTGGTAAGGATGTTTTTATTACTTTTCTACTGAGACCATGTTTTGTATTTTGTCAAGTAAGAGGACTGATGAGTATTTTTATAGTTAAAAGAATATATAACTAATTTTGTTCCAATGCTATTATGCTCTAAGTGAGATACTGCTGTGAACATTTATAGTGTCACTAAGAATCAGATTCATATTACTACTGACTTCATCAGCCTCCCAGTTTCTGTGTCTTGTTCTTTCCCTTGATCTTTGACCTGAATTGAAAGGAGTACCTGTTTATTTTCTCCTGTAACTCATTCAGTTGCTTGCACTTCTACAGATACATAATCTGATCTGTAGCAGATCTTTAGCAGGACTTTTACTTAGAAACATGACAAAGTTAAGTAAATACATGTAAATGATAACTTGAGAAAATAATGAATATTTTATCTTACTGAAACAAATAAGTATGTAGTATCTGTTTAAATTCTGAATAACAATTAACTAAAATTATTTTAACATTTACGCTTTAGAAAGAATTTATGTAATGTCTGTAAATATGCTTTAACTATAATAATAGTACTTAAATGTGTTTTAATAGTAACCCTGAGGCAATTTGCAAAATATTGAATAGCAGAGACTTTTACTAATAGTGTATTAAGGCATACACGTCTAGAATAACAATTTTCTTTCTGTTGAATATGCTATATGTAATGTAATATGTAAACAGAAGAATAAAACAGATGGCCAGGAAACGCCCAAGGATCTGCCCCTCTGTACTGTGGATAGTGGATGCAAAAAGCAAAACACTAAAAGCAGTTCCACTTCCCTGAAATAAGGAGATTCAAGAAAAGAGTATGCTTATTTAAAGGTGTTTGTATCTGACAGTTAACTTATCTATATGATAGGAATATGAGATTCAAAACAAAAAATACAATCTTTAGTTCTTTTCAGATATTTGCATCTTATATCTGCTTTTGTCAAGCAGCAGTAAAAAAATACAGTATAGAAATTAAAATACAAAAGTAATACAATTAGTCATTGATTACAATATGTGCAACTTACACTGTAATCAAAATTCATTTTAATCAAGAACAAAAGGGAAAAAAAAAGTTTTAGGAAAGAAGACAAAACAAACATAAAAAAATATCACTCCGCACCCCTCATATGCCTAAAAAAATGTAAGAAAGAAGTAAAATAGGTGTTTGGAAGTAAATGGTTTCATATTATAAAAATAAAATGCATCCGTGTAAGGATGGGATACTCCCTTAGCAGATACTTGATTAGGTTTTACAATGGAAGCAAATGAGCTGACATAGCAAAGGCTGGATTATTTTGTTTAGACTCTACTGCTTACAGTTCTGAGTGATATGGTATAGAATCAGAGAATCATTCAATTTGGAAAAGATCCATAAAATCTGCAAGTCCAGTTATCATCTAAAATTACCAAATCCATTACTAAATCATGTCCCTAAGTGCCACATCCACATGTATCTTAAATACCCTCAGGGGTGGCAACTCTGTCACATCTGTAAGAGGACTTGACAGAGAACTGACAAAAGAATTTAAAAAAAATCAACCTGTTGAATTGTAATTTCTACAATTTCTAGAAATTTCCTCTAATTTATACATGGATTTTGGATTTGAAATTCTTCTCCAGCTTAGTTTCAATGGTAGCAATCAGAAATGAAACAGTAAAGTTGTATTTTTCAAAATTATGGTTTTATTGGCACAAATCCTTTGTTACAAATTATCATTAATTATGAGTAATTGTAACACAAATAACTATTCTACTTACATTTATTACATTCATTTCATTTATTACGTTCATTGTTTACATAAGTTTTTAAAATTACTTCTAACTCTATTAAGAAATATGTCTGACTAATGCATGTTAACTTTACAATGTATGTTAACTCCTGTAACACTTAGTTACAGGAAGAATTTATTGATGATGCCATGGTGTAAGATAAAAGAACTGTTACTTCTTAGGAAACTGATCTCCCCATAATTCACGTTCTCAAATTCTTATACATTTAATTCTCATATTTCATAATTTGGAGCACTGTTGTAGTAATAAAAAAAAGAAAAAACTAATTATTTCTGTTGTTTTCCATCACCCTGAGAGCCAAAGTAATAAAGTATACATTGATATAGGATTTATCAATAGAAAAATAGTGTGTAAATCCATAATTAATTGTGGTTAACATAGCTTAATGAAAACAGATCACATCAGACATAACTCACTTATTGAGAAAACCACATGGACAGAGATGGAGAAATATTTTTTGCTGCAATTCTCTCATTAAGCAAAATAAATCAGTTAATGGAGCTCAGTTTTAAGGAAAAAAAGAAATCTACCTCTTTATCATGCTTTAATGGATATAGGCAAATAAAAATATTGATGCAGAGAAGACGTCTTGCTTCCAGATAATCAAATGCTTTGCATTTTGTAGCTCTCCTCCCTCCTGAGAAGAAACACGTAATTCTACAGTTTATATTGCTGGATGTACATGTTATGGCCAGCTTCCAAGAGGACTGTAACAGTAGATTTCTTTTATAGATGAATTTTTTTTTTTTTTTCAGAATTAGAAAAAAGATATGCACTGAGATTTTAAATAACCAAATGCTCAGTAAAATCTTGTATTATCATCTTAAAGTCTTGAAAATCTTTGAAGCAGTTGTTGACATTTTAAAATGTTACTTATTATAGAATCACCAAGGTTGGAAAATACTTAGATCATTCAGTCCAACTGTCCGCCTATCACCAGTTGTTCTCACTAAACAATGTCCCTGAAAACAATGTCTGAAGCTTCCTTGAACACGTCCAGGGTCGATGACTCCACCACCTCCGTGGACATTCCAGTGTCTGACTGGAAAAGTAGTATTTCCTACATCCAGCCTGAATCTCTCCTGGCACAACTTGAGGCCATTCCACCTACTCCTATCATTAGTTGCACAAGAGAAGAGGCCAACACCCAGCTCACTATAACATCCCTTCAGGTAGTTAAAGAGAGCAGTAAGTCTCCTCCCCTGAGCCTCCTCTTCTTCAGACTGAACAATCCCAGCTCCCTCTTAAGACCTGACCAGTGCTGAGCATAGATGGACAATTACTTCCCTTCTTCTGCTAGCAACACCATTTCTGATACAAGCCAGGATATCATTGGCCTACTTGGCCACCTAGGAGTAGTACTGCTGGCTTATGTTCAACCAAGCATCGACCAATAACAGCAGTTCTATTTCCTCTCCTTAAATATTTGTAAATCATATTAAATTATCTAAAATGGAATGGATTGCCAAATAGAACAATAATTGTAAATTGGGAATTATTGTCTCCTGCTAATTTTCTAAAGGACTAGTGATTGTAATACCTTGTTCATCTCACTGTATCTTCCTCTTGGAGAGTCAGAACTCAGGTGAGACCATGGGACCAGGAAGTACAGACCCGCAGTGCACTGTGCCTCTATACCCAACAGCTTACCACATGGTGTCATGATATGGAATACTGATAAAGTCATGACCATATAGTAGAAAATACGAATTTCCTTTGAGATATGCAGAGAATGATTGTATCATTAGTATGCAAATCTGATCAGCGTTTCTATGCTACTTAGAAAAAGGAGGTGTTCTAAAAGAGGTAAATACAATGCTGCCTGCTTAGGAAAAACTACCAGTGTCTGTTTCCTGATGCTCAGTGACAAGACAACTTTGAGCTCCTGTTAGATATTTGACATGAGATCTCAATACACTATTGATGGAGAGCAGGACAATCCATGTCATCAAAGACAGAAGCACTTCTGTGTGAACAGTATTCTGCAACTCTCAGTAGAAGGCATATCGTTGGGCAGTTGTACAATGAAAATTGTTTTGATGAAGCTGAAAAATGGAAAACTCCTTAAGAATGAGCTTTGTAGTATACGGGTATTTTAAAATATATTCTTAAAAGTATGTGGAGATTCACAAAATTTAACTAGTCCATGGGCCATCAGTTTTCCTTAGGGAAAAAAAAAAAAACCAACAAAGAAACAGCTATATTTAAAATATTTAATTCTATGTACCAAAAGATGTTGAAGCCATACTAGCATGGAAATGCTAACTGGTTTTGCATTCAATTCTGTGCAGCTGTTTTTTGCATGCACCACTGACTACACCAAAAGCATTTTCAAAAATTGTTGTGTATAAAATACAATGTAATGCAGTTTGTCAGTGATTTTTAGTTAAATCAGGAAGGCCAGGTCACAGCTGTCCTGTCTTAGTAAGTACAGCAAACATCAAATTTCATGAGGATAAATTACTGTGGTATCCAAAACCCAGAATTCCTATGGAAAACTATGGGCTGGAGAACCCACTCTGAATGGCTTCTAATAGGTGGGCAGAAGATTCATTCCACTGATATTAAAATGTTGGAACAAAAATTATATTTGTCAGAACTGCCATGAATAGTATCAACATTAAAAAATCACTTCATTTGGAGACTCCAGGAGATCAAAGATAGCTAGTTTCTAAAACGTGGAAAGGAAGATTTGCATCTTTCTTTGGTTTGAGAAATTTGAATCTCATTTGAACACATCATGTTAGCAGGTCAGAATTAAAACATTTGAAAGTAGAAATTTTCCGCTTTCAGAAAATCTTTCTATGGAAAATTCCACCACTACTTACTACTGATTTGTAGTTACTAAAAGAAATCAGCTACTGAATTTCTTCTGCTTTTGTCATGGTTTTACGATTTTTGGTTATCGGTCACATCATAACATCATGCAGTGGGAATTAAAGAGTTAACGCTGCAGCTCCAGTCTCAGAAGCAGAGAGTGAAATATGGATCTCAGAAGACTTGATTATTCTGTTTTCATTTTCTGGTTGGTGGGAA